TCATGGACAGAGGTGAGCTTATTACGGACAGAGTGGGCATTCCAGAGTGCACATGAAAAAGGAGTGTGGTTTTTAGGAGTGCGGGGATTGATATTAAATTAAAGCGGCTTGCAGCTATTCCTGGAGGAAAGAGGATGCCTGGTGTGGGGGTGAGATAGTGGAGGACCAGGGTTTGGGGAGATATTCCCAGAGGTTAGGAGAAGGAGGGTGAGGAAAGTAAGGTGGGAGCGGGATGTGTACGAGTGCACATGCCTTCCAGTCCTGGTGTTTGGCTCAGCAGGTGAGTAAAGTATTAGGAGGTGAAGAGAGTAGTAGTAGGGAGATGGTAGCAGTGCAGGTGAGATGTATAAGCTTTGGGCTGGAGCAGAGGGGTAAAAGAGGTTTTGGGAATACAGGATAGTAATATGAAAAGGAGGAGTAGAGCTGGCATATTAAAAGGTACAAGGAGTGGCAATCAGACTTGTAGGAGATGTTTCCTAGGGTGTTTGCTTGCAGTCCATCCAGTGTGCAGTAGAGTTCTTTGTTGTATCTTCCTGCTGTTTGAAATATCTTGCTTTAGTTAAACTGCTATGTTCAACTGCAGCATCACACTCCAGCATCAAAAACACACTCGCGCAGAGAACTGCACCCCGTCTGACTGTGCCCCCCGTCTTAAAATGCTAACATCATACAAGTCCCCGGGCCCCGACTGTTTACTGAATGTTTACTATACTATAAAACCTTCTCTGAACAACTTCTCCCTCATATGGCTCTTTACTTCAATTCCTTGAGAGAAAACGGTGTGATTCCTTTAGATGAAAATAAAACCTATATTCTCTTTTTCCCTAAACCTAATCAGAACGCTACTGATATGCGCTAATAAATTGTGACCAAAATTCCTGACAAAACTTTTAGCTCTGCGTCTTAATTCCTTTTTGGCGCAGTATGTTCACAAAGACCAATCAGGTTTCATATCTGGTCGCCAAATGTTGGACCAGATTCGTAGGTCCATAGCAGCAATTCCCAAGAAAGAGGGGCATCCCAATTAGAGTGAACAGCAGAAATCAAAGCTTTCTTCTTTTTTTTTTTTTTTGGACCTCCATAAGGCCTTCGATTGCTTAACCTGGGAGTATTTGTTTACTGTCTTGCGAGCTTTTGGATTTGGTCCTGCATTTCTTACACTATTGCAGTCGTCCTTCAACACGCGGCACTAGACAAGGTTGCCCACTCTCCCCACTGCTCTTTGCATTGGCAATAGAAACCGTAGCTATGGCGATCCGCTCCTCTCATTCTGGAATCCACGGGGTCCACTGTGGTCATCAGGAACATAAATACGCATTATTTGCTGACAATGTTCTCATGTATGTTACATCCCCTCTGACCACTTTACCTACCGTATTTTCCGGCGTATAAAGCGACTGGGTGTATAAAACAACCCCCTATTTTCCAGTTAAAACATAGGTTTTGGGCTATACTCGCCGTATAAGACTACCCCCCTTCCGAGGCAACACCATTTAAAAACATCAGATTTTTTAATTGAAATGCTTATGACTTACCGGTACTTTAAAATCCTTCAAAATCCTCATGTTCATCCTCTGACATCATGAATGACATCTTGTGATACATTTGTAAGACAGCCATCATATGGATCAAATTCCAAATCGGATGGTTACCGCTGGATGTGCGGTAATATGGTAGCTTCGGCTACATACAGTATATATACAGCCCGCTGGATATGCAGTAATGTACATACAGTATACCGTGCTGAGCCAAGCTGGCTCAAAACAAATGTCCCTATGACAGATTAATCTGTCAGCCCGCTGGATGTGCGGTATATACAGTATACTGAGCCAAGCGGTTTCAAAACGTACCGGTACGTCCCTACGGTAATCAGACTGCTGGATGTGTGTATGTACAGTAGCTGAGGCTACATACAGTATACGCTGGGCCAATCATGGCGAGCGATGTATTCTACTAATGAATACAAAGCCTGCTCGGATTGGCTGAGGTTGTGACATCATCAGCCCACCTCTCTGACTCGGCCAATCCGAGCAGGCTTTGTATTAGTAGAATACATCACTCGCCGTGATTGGCCCAGTGTATACTGTATGTAGCCGCAGCTACCGTACATACACGCATCCAGCGGGCTGCTTACAGTAGGGACGTACCGGTATGTTTTGAAACCGCTTGGCTCAGCGCAGTATACTGTATATACCGCACATCCAGCGGGCTGACAGATTAATCTGTCATAGGGACATTTGTTTTGAGCCAGCTTGGCTCAGCACGGTATACTGTATGTACAGTACTACCACACAGTCAGCTTGACCCAAACAAACTCAAGGTTTTTGGGGTATATTTTTAAGTATAAAAAGTAGTCTTATACACCAGAAAATACTGTAATCTATTATCTTTTGAGTCATTTCTCTGAACTTTCTGGGCTGACTTTAAACTCTCATAAAAAGACAGCTCTTAATGTTTCATTACCCTCTTCATTGGAGCAACAGCTTTGAACTATATATATGACTTTCAATGGGCCCACAGGTCTTTACCCTATTTAGGGGTTAACTTGACAGCTTCGATTGAGACCCTATACCAAGCGAAATATCCCCGTTTTCAAACAACTTAAGGAGGATCTTCGTCGTTGGGCTGCTTACACTATATCTTGGTTTGGCAGGATCAACCCTATTAAAATGACGTTTTTGCCTCAAATGTTTTACTTTTTTAGGACGTTACCGATACCAAGACGTGAGTTGTAACACCTACAGGCAGAGGTGCTTTGTTTTGTTTTAAACAATAGAAGACTTTATTGGGATTGGCCTTCTTAATCTCCATGCATATTTCCAAGCTGCCCAAATTGCACAATTGGCCTATACTACTGCTAAAGGATCTTCTCCCCTGGGTTTCTATTAAATCATTAGCCTCCTTTCATACTCCTTTAGCCCCTGTTTTTTGTAACCCTGAATTTGTACGTGGTCTGGTTCCAGCCCCATTCCAGTGGTGGATCAACAAGGGGTTACTACGGATAGGAGACTACCTCATGGGTGCCTTAGTTTACCCTCTCCAGCACTTAAAAGAGAAACTGCAGATGCCCCCCCACTGAAATCTTTAGATATAATCAAATCGGCTCTTTTATCCGCTCGAAAGTTATACTACTAGATGGACCACCCATTCTTGCCAATTTCGAACTACAGAATACAAATCTCTCTAGAGGCTGTATTTCTATGGTGTACGCCCTTCTTACTGATCCAAGCTGTAAACTTCCCTATATGGATCAATGGGGATGAGACCTTGTTAGTTATGATCTATCTGATTGGCAAGACATAGCCCTGGCATTTATCTAAAGTTTCCATCAATACTGCCTTAATTGAAGCAAACTATAAAACACTATTGCGATGGTACCTCGTCCCAACCTGGACGGCCAGGATGCAATGAGGACGGCCTCAGCAATGTGCTTTCGGTGTTGCTGCCAGATGGGTTCTATGTTCCACGTTTGATGTCCGATAGAAACTAGATTTTGGATTCGCATGTTTAACCTTATTTACACGGTGACGGGGTGAATGTTTGTAGGGTCCCGGAGATGGCTCTCTTCCATAAATTTCCACTTATAATACCGAATAAATTGCTTACTTAAATGCTGTTAGTAGCGAGAATCACTATATGCTAAATATTGGAAGAGGTCAATTATTCTACTTGACTATGTTTAAGCACAAATTAAATTGGATCATGATTAATGACACACCTGTGTTCTACACAATAATACTAACAAATCTGATAAAACGTGGGACCCGTGGATTCAATACATTTCCGTGCCTTGATACTTCCCGATTTGACTTTCTTCTCTCGTTCTTGTTCTCTTTTTCTCACTTTTTACTGTCTTTTGTCTGTTTTCTGGTGCTAGTTGAGTTTTTCTTATTCCTTCTACAATATTTGTCATGTTTTCTACAATGCTTGTTCTGTGCGATCCATGTGTTTCTTACTACTGCTTCCCCTGTACATGGGGGATTTATTGCTGGGAACTTTCTATTTGATCTACTGAGTTATTTATTCTATAGATTTTCTGGTTTTCTAAGGTATTTCTGTTTTTTCAACCAGGTGTTCTTTGGTGCTGTTCGACTTTGTCTTTTTGCACTATTTTTAACTTGAAATATTTAAATAAAAACTATTGGAGAATAAACATTTTGATATGTTTTCTATTGTGAAAATAAAATATGGGTTTGAGATTTGCAAATCATTGCATACTCTTCATGTAGATTTTACACAGAGCCCCAGCTTTTTTGGAATTCGGGTTGTAACTAAACAATGTAGAGTTGGAGAGCACAGGAAGTTTTATCTGCTCCATAATTTCTGACAAGGCTACTTTTGCATATAACAAAACACTTCCAATGGTAAATGTAACAGACCAAAAGGGTGCCAATAAGTTTAGTTTTTAAAAATCCTTTACAGTGTAACCGGACTTTTGGTTGTTACACTGATTTTACAGTTTGCCTTATTGCTCACCTACCCCAGACCCCCTCCCCCGCCAGTCTTCACACATGTCCCCAAACCAGTGAGCCACAGAGCAGCTTGTAAAAATGTGGATACGTCAGGTCTGTGTATGCAATGTGCATTTTATTCTGTTCTATGGAGATGAGTTCATACTGCATGTAACTGCATTAAATTGTTGAACATCTGTGAAGTGAAATGGGCTACATAAACAGTTGTGTATATACTGTATGACCATCTTGGCACAGAATTCTAGTTTGGTTTTTTCATTTTTAATTTGTTTTGAAAAAATTATGACTGCCATAACAAAATGGGTATGTGGCAGTTTTTGACTTGTTCTATATATCCGGTTTATATGTTGGCATGAAATCAAGTATTGCCAGGAGTATGTCCTTTTTGTTCTCTTGTGCAACACCCTTGGCTGCTTCACCCAGCAAAATTCATTCACCGTAAATATTTTACAAATTTTTTTTTTTTTTTTTCCCTTTAGTTCAGTTATTTCACTTTTTTATTTTTGTTTTTTTTCTGTCTAGCAATGTGGAATCAATGCAAATGATGTGAAGAAACTGGAAGAGGCTGGATTCCATACGGTAGAAGCCGTTGCTTATGCGCCAAAGAAGGAACTTCTTAATATTAAAGGCATTAGTGAGGCCAAAGCTGACAAAATCCTAGTAAGTCAGACACCATCATCGTTCCTTTCTTGGAAAACGCTGACCAGAACCATGTTGTTACAGGGAAGTAACTCTTAACCTCTTGTAATGATGATATAAAAGGAGGTGTGTTTTGAAATGAGCAATATTATAGATTGGATTGGGCCGAAATTGTTTAAAGGATTGCAGATGTTAAAATCTGTTTGCTCATTCCCATATAATGGAATGTCTCAGCAATGAAGTGAAATTTCCAATATGCAGTATGTGTCAGATGTTTTCAGCAACACTGATGCAGCAGAGTGCTTTCTGCTGTGGCTGTAACTTCCACTGTTCTGCTCCTCCACTCCTTAGATGACAAATATGCTCCCTGCCTATCATTTTTTTGAGCTTTAGTTTTTCTGCAGCTTTGATCTCCTGTTTAGTCACATAGCACTGCAGCTACAAACCTTTGTGATTTATTAAAAAAAAAAAAAAAACACAGCCCTGCATGGGGAAAATATTGTTTCTCATGGAGTTTTATTCCTTAAACATACTGTATGTAATACTGATTTCAAACTTCTGAAAAAACAATTTGCAAATACAGTTGTGCTTTTTTTTTTTTTTTTTTTTTTTTTTTCCCCCCCCTGAAGGCAGAGGCTGCTAAACTTGTTCCAATGGGATTTACTACAGCAACAGAATTCCACCAGAGACGTTCTGAAATTATACAGATTACAACAGGCTCCAAAGAGCTGGACAAGTTACTACAAGGTTCACACATTTTCTTCTGGAATGGAGTAATTTGATCATTTTCCAGAAATGAATACAGTGTGTTGTGTTTAAAATTGGTTGTGTGTACTTATTTATTTATTTTAACCAGGGGGTATTGAAACAGGGTCAATTACTGAGATGTTTGGAGAGTTCCGCACAGGAAAGACTCAGCTGTGCCACACGTTGGCAGTGACTTGTCAGGTAAGCGCACGCAGATCTGTACAACTGCTTTCTTAAGTTGGCTAAGAAATTATTTGAAATGTAGCACTGTAAATGTTTCATATATTTAAGTGTCCTTGTCACCAATGTAAGATTGAAAGGAAGAGACTAAATAGTTACAGCTGTGCTCAAAAGTTTGCATACCCTGGCAGAAATTGTGAAATATTGATAATGACTGATCATGCCAGAAAATGCTCTTTTATTGAAGGATAATGATCATCATATGAAGCCATTTATTATTATAAAGTTCCATTACCTTTTTACGCAGGAGTTTTTGACAGTTCTTTTCTGATCCCCATGGCTCAGTATCTAACCTAGTCAGTGCTTCCACGTAAGAGCTAACTTTTTAGCACAACTGTACCTCTTCTGCTGCCCATGCAACTGAAAGTCACTTTGTTGGTGAGGAATCGCCCCTCCGGAGACTACTGGGAAAACTGACTGTTCCAATCTTTTGAGTCCTCCACAGAGCTTACTTGTTCATTCCCCTGCCAACACCATTACTGTCTCCTGTTCTGGTGTTCTAAGTTTAGCTTGGAATTAGCTCAACACATTAAGGATTCAAGCTTTCAAATTTTCAGACCTGAGATGTGGACAATCTGAATAGTAATTTCTACATGGAAAAAAGGCTATTTTTTATTTATTTTTTTTTTGTAAAATATTTTTTGCAGGTAAGTCCACAATGAGTGCAAGATCTTCTTTCTTGTCAGATGACTAAGGGGGCCTGCTTTGGCATGAACTAAATTTTTTTTCTTTTGCTATTTACTGGCCATCATTAGTAGTCTGAAAATTCTCAGACTCCTCCATCTCCAGAATACCCTCCTGGGTTAAGAGTTTTCTGAAGCGCTGGATTACTTATTTTGTCTTCTCAGTGATTTACAGAGAGTGGTCTGAAAAATATCCAGTGAACCGCAGTGGTGTGGATGAAAATTCTTTGTCAATGAATGGGCAGACTGGTTCGAGATGATAGAAAAGCAACGATAACTTAAATAACCATTCCTTACAACCAAGGTATGCAGAATACAACCTCTGAACGCACAACACGTTGAACCTTGCAGCAGATGGGCTACAGCAGCAGAAGACCACACTGGGTGCCACTCCTGTCAGCTAAGAATAAGAAACTGAGGCTACAATTTGCACAGACTCGCCAAAATTGGACAATAGAAGATTGTAAATCATTTCCTGGTCTGATAAGTCTCGATTTCAGCTGTGACATTCAGATGGTAGGGTCAGAATTTGGTGTAAACATGAAAGCATGGATCCATCCTGCCTTGTATCAACGGTTCAGGCTAGTGGTGGTGTATTGGTGTGGGGATATTTTCTTGGCACACTTTGGGCCCCTTAGCACAAATCGAGCATTGTTTAAATGTCACGGCCTGCTAGAGTATTGTTGCTGATCATGTCTATCCTTTTATGACTACAGTGTACATATCTTCTGATGGCTACTTCCAGCAGGATAATGCACCATGTCACAAAGCACATATCATCTCAAACTGGTTTCTTGAAAATGACAATGAGTTCACTGTACACCAATGGCCTACATACTCGCCACTTCAGCTCTCAATCCAGTAGAGCGCCTTTTGGAATGTGGTGGAATGGGAGATTTGCATCATGGTTGTGCAGCTGACAAGTCTGAAGCACCTACTTGAATCTGTCTTGTCATTATGGACCAAAATCTCTGAGGAATGTTTCCAACACTTTGAATCTATGCCACGAAGAATTAAGGCAGTTCTGAAGGCAAAAAGGGTCCCCAGTACTAGCAAGGTGTACCTAATAAAGTGGCCAGTGAGTGTATACGAATGGATATATTAAGAGCAGGTGTGCCTGCAGGGACCCCACCTTCTTAAAGGCACAGTGATGCACACGACTTTCAGCAAGAGCATAATGGCAGCAAAGGCTTCCAGTGTGTCCCTGCACCCAATTCATCCAACTGGACAGAAAAGTGGCAACCTCTCCAACCTATAACTGACCTATGCAGCAAGGTGCATGTAGAAGAGCAATGCACATCAAACACAGGATTTCTCCGCACACTTGCCAGCCTGCAAAAGAAGCAATAATTCACTTTTTTTTTTTTTTTTTTATGCAAAAATATGTGCATTTATTATTTATTCCACAAAGGTGAACTTTAATTTTTTTGAGCAGTGTATATTTGAAATATACACTTTTTTTTTAAAAGCCAAAGGAATACTTTTGAAACACATCAGATCTCAATGGGGAAACATATGCTGGATATCTATAATGATATGGACTGGGTAATGTGTTAGGACCGTAATATGCCCCATCGTTTGATGGAAATTGAATTCAGCCCTCTGTAGGTTGATAATTTTAAAGACACTCCGAAAATCAAAGTGAAACAATGATGCAACAGGCTGGTCCCTTTTGCTGAAATTTCACTGCAGCAACTCAAAATGGTAGTTTGTATGGCCCCACGTGCTTGTATGTGTGCCTGACAACGTCTGAGCATGTTCCTAATGAGATGGTAGATGGTGTCCTGGGGTATTTCCTTCCATATCACTGAGCTCCTGCAGTCTGAGATGCAACCTGGCAGCGTCGGATCGAATGAAACGTGATATCCCAGAGGTGTTTATACTGGATTTAGGTCAGACGAGCATGGGGGCTATAAAGTGGTATTAGTTCCTTCATCTTCCAGGAACTGCATGCATACTCGCCACATGAGGCTGGGCATTGTCCTGCACCAGGAGGAACCCAGGGCTCACTGTACCAGCGTAGGGTCTGACCATGGGTCAAAGGATTTAATCCCGATACCTAATGACAGTCAGGGTGCCATTGTCTAGCCTGTAGAAGTCTGTGGGTCCTTCAATGGATATGCCCCCCTCCCCCCCCCAGACCATCACTGACTCGCCACCAAAATGGTCATGCAGAACGATGTTACAGGCAGCATAATGTTCTTCATGGCTTCTTCAGACCCTTTCACATTTTGTCACATGTTCTCAGGGTGAACCTGCTCTCATCTGTGAAAAGCATAGAGCGCCAGTGGAGGACCTGCCAATTCTGATGTTTAATGGCATATGCCAATTGAGCTCTAGAGAACATCGGTGTGGCGGAACCGTTCCGCCTGGGCTTCTTCGTGCGGAGCAATGCCTCTCAGCCAATGGTCCCCTTTTCCGGCAAGGCTTCCAGCGCTCTGCCAAGGCAGGTATTAGAGCTCAAATCACTCCCTTCCCTGCTCTCCCAAACCACAAGTCGGAACTTCGTGTAGGGTGAAAATGACTGACTCTTTAGTAAACACAGCTCAGTATATACAACTTCATCCCCACCAGACAGCCTGGCACCAGGTTTTCCCCACCCACAACTAAACCCTACAACCAACAATACAGTATGAACTCTGTTAGAAGTGAAAGACTACAAGGTCACATTTCCCTAAACAAACCGTGTAGAATATCTGTGAAACATGTACAGCTTTACAAGGGGGAGAAAACTGGAACAGAAAGGGCAAAATGTTATCACAAAGGGATGGTTCCTCACAATTGGGCCCTCAGGCCTCCCTCATGAAGTCTGTTTCTGATTGGTCAGAGACATTCACACCAGTGGCCTGCTGGAGGTTGTAGGGCTCTGGCAGTGCTCATCCTGTTCCTGCTTGCACAAAGGAGCGGATACCAGTCCTGCTGATGGGTTAAGGACCTTCTATGGCTCTGTCCAGCTCTCCTAGAGTAACTGCCTGTCTCCTGTAATCTCCTCCATGCTCTTGAGACTGTGCTGGGAGACACAACACACCTTGTGGAAATGGCACGTACTGATGTGCAATCCTGGAGGAGTTGGACTACCTTTGCAACCTCTGTAGGGTCCAGGTATGGCGTCATGCTACCAGTAGTGACACTGACCCTAGCCAAATGCAAAACTAGTGAAAAACAGAAAAGATGAGTAGGGAAAAAAAATGTCAGTGGTCTCCACCTGTAATACCATTCCGGTTTTGGGGGTCATCTCATTGTTGCCCATCTAGTGCACAGGTTGTTTAAACTGATAAACCCCCCTCTGCTACTTAACTGACCAGATCAATCTCTGAGGAGTTTCATTGACTTGATGCTATACGCTGATTAAAAAGTGTTCCTTAATTTTTTTGAACAGTGTATTCTGTTTTTATCATACACACCTTTTTTTTTTTTTCTTTTAAGCTCCCCATTGACAGAGGTGGTGGCGAGGGGAAAGCCATGTACATAGACACAGAGGGCACTTTTCGACCGGAAAGGCTGCTTGCTGTTGCTGAAAGGTACTTTATATTTAATTTCCCCCCCAATTATGGGTTCAAAAGTATACTTGACATAGGAACTCCTTGGTAAGAAAATATGATGTAATGTAAAAATAGTGCATTTAAAGTAAAAATTAAATATGAAAAAATTCTAATATATCCCTATGTGAGCAATCGGAAGGATTGCAAAATCTGTAGCATGGCTAACAGTAAATCAGATTTTTCCCATTATAGGACATCTGTAAACTATGGGTCTAACTAGATTGTAAGCCCTCATGAGGCGGGACCTCCTGTCCCTCTTGTATTGAATTGCATTGTAACTGTACTGTCTACTGCTTTACAGAGCTGGTTCAATTACACTTACAAGTTTTATTAACTATTTTGTGTCTATGTATATTATAATTATCAGCCTCTGCTCCTCCCCATACTTGAGTGGGGCATCTGATTGAATCCGCATAACTTTTGATTATGACGCTACTGCTCTCCATTTTGTCTTATCTGTTATGTCTCAGTGGGTGACCTAGTATTGTTTATAGGCTGTCATGGGTTATAGAGCCTGGGATGGCTGCTCTGCTAACTTGCCAAATGTAAGTATTTCAAATGAAATGGCTCAGTTCACACTAGCCTACTTAATGTTATGCATATTCTCCAGGAGGGAAATGAACAAGGATCTGTACTGTCCAAGATGATGACACACCAGTGACATTAGGGTACTGGAAATGGCATGAGGGGAAATCTCTATCCAAAACAAAATAACGTTTTGGCTGGAGTTGGGCTTTAACCACTTGCCGCACAGTCTCATGTACAGTATGTGACATGTTCAAGCAGTTATACCCGAGCCATGGCTGCAGCTGTCAGCCATCATTCTGGTAGTGTGTGTGTGTTATCCATGCTCTATAGGGAGGACCTGTTATGCTTTATTGCAATCACAGGGGATATTTCCATTACTTGTGATGGCAATAAGTGATTTAAAAAAAAAAAAAAAAAAAAAATCAAAGGGACAGTGTAGAGATAAAGAACTTTTTTAATAAAATATATATTAAAGCATATGTAAACCGTGTTCATACCATGTGACATAAAAAATTGCAACGACCACTATTTTATTCTCTAGGGCCTCTGCAAAAAAAAAAAGCTATGTAATGTTTGGGGGTTCTAATTTAATTTTTTAGCAACACAATACTGATTGTTACATATAGGAGTGACGTGTCAAAATAGGCCTAGTCTTCAAGTGGTTGGAGAGACGGGCAAAACTTTGTCACTAGCTGATGGTCTCAAAAATGAACACTCTTTATACTGGTAGCTCCGTACCACTATGTCCCTATAGAAGTGTGTGGGTTTTTTTTTTTTTTTTTTTGTTTGTTTTTTTGACAAGGCACCCTTTAAAATTATGGACAGTCTCGAGACACCCAGTTTTAAAATGTAAAGCTATTCTAATAGAATAACGCAGCAACATCCACCCAAACATTAAAGGTATTTTATGCTACCAAAGAAAATACACTTTTGCACACTGGTACTGACTAGTATTCCATAGTATGTTTGTTTGTTTTTGTTTTGTTTTTTTCTTCTCCCTCAGTTTTTCTCCATCACTTAGCTAATTTGACCCCAGTGCTGATGAAGGTGGGCAAAGGATGCTGTGCAGACACTCAACATTCTCCTAAAATAATTACGTCATTTTGTTATAATGCCGATGGCTAGGAAGTCATAATGGTGCGCAATGAAAGCCTCTGGCTTTGTTTAACTAAAAGGAAGGCCAAAGACACCCCTAAAGAAAAACCTCAAGGCACCCTAGGGTGAGAGAAGTCCCCTCTTGGCGCTCTTTCAGACTTTTAGTGTGTTGTGTCCTCTGAAAACCGATTTGAAAGCAGATCACTTGAAAGGGCATTTGACAGGCAGTGAGGAGGCGCTTTAATGCGGGTTGCAGCGCAGCAACCATTAATTCAATGGATGCGTTTGACCTGTAGTACTGCCTGTCAAACTCTGCACACAGTTAAAAAAATGCCATGGCTACAAAGCAAAGCATCGTGACCATGGCATCTTTACAGTCCCATCCAGAGAGGTAAAACCGGCTCTCAGTTGTCGGTTTTTACCCCCTTTCATGGCCACCCATCTGAAACCGCACCTATATGGCATCCCATTTGGTTTATTTCCCCTCTTCCTGTTCTAGTGAAAACTCAAAATTGTGGATTTTCTTTGTCTTGGACTGTTATCACTAAATTTTAATAAGTTTAATAACTTTAAAAAGTTTTTGGCTTCAGATGCTCTTGAATGTAATTTCAAGTTTTTTCTTATTTCAGTCCATTAGTCTGAGAGTTTAAGGACAATTTATGCATTTTCTGACAATATGAAGTGTCGGCTTGTTATCGATTTTACATAACAGATTTCTCTGGAATACCTGTAGTGAAAAAATTTGTCGGTACATGCAGGAAACGTAAAAAAATGCTTGTGCTTTTAGGCTGCTTTTACACTTTTGTGTGTTTAATAAAAAAAAAAAAAAACATGTATTTCTGTGGTAGTACCTCCAAATTGAAATCAATGGAAAATACATCAAGAACACACTCGCATTGCATTTTTGGTTTTTAAATTAAAAGAAAAAAAAAAAACGCACCGGAAACATGGCAAAAATACATGCGCTATTGCCACAGATCGGTGTGAAATTATCCTTGGGCTCCTTTCACATTGATGTTTTTATTTCATCAGTTCAGTCAGGTTTTTTCAAAGAAAAAAGTGATTCAGTTTTACATCCAAACGGAACACCCATGTGAAAGGGGCCTTATTTACAAACATCTGCATAATTCACTCTAAACATGTTACTGAGTGCTTTAACCAAACACACAGCTTGTAAGGATCTCCTTTTTTAACCACTAGCCTACAGGGCACTTATACCCCCTTCCTGGCCAGGCCAATTTCCAGCTTTCAGCGCTGTCACACTTTGAATGACAATTGCACTGTCATGCAACATTGTACCCATATGAAATTTTTATCATTTTTTTGAGACAGAGCTTTCTTTTGGTGGTATTTAGTCACCTCTGGGATTTTTATTTTTTCTTAAACCAAAAACCACTAAAATTTTTGAAAGTTTTTTCTTTCGTTTTTGTTATACAATTTTGTAAATAAGTGATTTTTCTCCTTTATTGATGTGCGCTAATGAGGCTGCAGTGATGGGCACTGATAGGCTGCACTGATGAGGAGGCACTGGTAGGTTGCACTGATGGGCATTGACAGGCATCACTGGTATGCACTGATATGTGGCATTGATGGGCACTGGCACGTTGGCACTGATGAGCACTGACAGGTGGCACTTCTGGGGCCACACTGATCATCAGTGCCCTGATGATCAGTGTACATGTCCCCTCCGCGGAAAGCCGATTACCAGCTCTCCTCTCGAGCTGTCAGCGTGACTGCTCGAGAGGAGAGAAATGCCGATAACCGGCATTTCCGTGTTTACATGTGATCAGCTGTGATTGGACACAGTTGATCACATGACCGAGCCGACATCTGCGGCTCTTTCCGTGATCCCCTGTGTCTGAGGGACACAGCGGACCGCGAACTGCATGCTCCCTGAGCCGCCCATGCGCAGTGAGAATGGTAGGACGTCATATGACGTTCTTTCAGAACGAACGAGAGAACCACCTTGCGCCCGTCATTGTACTATAGGGCGGGCGGAAGGTGGATAAATTACCTTTCAGCTCTCTGTCTTTAGTTATCAGTGGACTGGTAGTTTGATTAGGCTTAGCCATGCATGTGTGGGTTTGTTTTTTTGGGGGGGGTTTTTGTAAGCATGGAACATCATATTGTAACTCTTATTAAAGGACGTTGCGTGCACTTTTTTTTTTTTTTTTTTGCTTGTGATATTTTAATTTTTTTTTTTTTTTTTTTTTATAGGTATGGGTTGTCCGGCAGTGATGTTCTTGACAATGTGGCTTATGCTCGGGCATTTAACACAGACCACCAAACCCAGCTTTTATACCAGGCGTCTGCCATGATGGCAGAATCCAGGTAAAATTTATCAACCATTGTGTATATTATTGCAGTGTTTAGAACATTGTGCAAATGTACAAAACTATACTTGTGGATTGTAAAAGCTTGAACATTATATACTAGCTCCGTTGCTTTCATCAGTTTATGAAGCTAGTTTTAGCAATTTCTCCACTCAGTTATGCAATATTTCAACACAACTGAACAGCAGCCATCAAATCAATTTTCAAGGTTCCCCATGTTCTAAAATCTGACCGTTTCCTGGGAGAACTTTCACCATAAAAAGCTTGGTTTAATCTGTTAAAATGAATAGAGAAAAATGTGAAGAGTACATTTTCTCTCATGGTTGAAACAAATTCATGTCACATTTTTTGAGAAATTGAGAAGCAGTTTACTGATCTTTGTACCTAGGTTCTAATGCAGTGTTTCTCAACCTTTCATTCATGTCACCCTTTGAAATTATGCCAAATCTGGAGTGGGGTTCTCATATTAGAACGTGTCCTGACCTTTCACATCAGCTCCACCCCCCCCCCCCCTCCATTCACATCAGAATCCTCTGTTCGAGGCGGCACCGTTGTTGAGAGTAGCTTACATTACTGGGCATTAATGCTTCAAGGAATAAATAGAAATCAAAGGAAATTCTTTTACACATTAGATTTGAGAAGGTGGTACATTTTCCCAGGTCTCCACCAAGCCTTGAATTTCTACAGCTCTGGGGTAAAAATCTGGGTTACTAAATGCATAATGCTTATTAGCCTGCATTTGTCCTTTTAAGGGGTAAGTTCAACTTTTTCCAATAAATTAAATGCACATTTATTTGCATGTAAAAAAGTTTTGTTTGTGGTGTTAGCTTGTGTTTTTTTTTTTTTTTTCCTGGAGTCTGCAGAACATTGCAACTACGATCAGCAGTTTGCAGGTGCAATCTGTCTCCTGCAGACTTTCAGCATAGCTGTCTGCTCGTACCTTGTATAGGCAGGCAGTTACCTGGGAGTAGGAAAAATCGATGGACTACAAGAGCGCTCACCAGAACCCTGGTAGTTCATTGAGAACTGCAAGCCATCAGCCACAACGGCTGATGGAACTTGCAGGCATTCATTCACAGGAAACTGAACAATGTGGCCTTGTGGGCAAAGTCCTGCACCGCCACGCTCTTTTAAAACTGTGATAGCAGTTTCCACCCTAAACATGTTCCACCCTAAACACACATGTAACATGTTGTAAAAGTGAACTTATCCTTTTTAACATTTGTAGAGCCACCTCTCAAATGTGCAGTTCCATGTTGCTCCCTGTTTTAAGGGAGATCTTTTGTTGAACAAAATTGGTTGTAGCGAAAGCAGTTTGTGAAAAAGCAAGAAATACTCAATTTCTCTATGCAGCTGGCTTTGATTTTCCAAAGTGACAGAAAATTCAAATGTTGCTTGTATCTGTGGAAAGTATACAGCAAGGCCAGAGAAATGTAACTTCCTGCTCATGTGATTGGCCCCCTGCTTTGTCAGGGTTTCATTTTGCTTCACTGTAACTGTTCATGTTATTAAAGCAAGCAGATCCTCGTAGTACTTGAGTAGAAGGAAGCAGCTGACTGAATTGCATTGTGTAATGGCATATAATTTGGAGTGGATCAGAGTTTCTGCTTTTAGTAAAGTGGCTTTTAAAGTTTAGCAAGATTTGCTACAAAAGAAATACACTGTCTAGGCTAGAAATTTTCTTGGTTCAGTGCCCAAATATTTGGGTTGAGGTAGTGCTGGTCTACCTCACTTAAAATCACTGAGGGTTAAATCGTTATATAGTCACAGCAATGCTAATTATAGAATATTTTGCCCTCTGTAGTATGGTTGTCTAATTTTTTATATGATTTGAATGTAAATGCATGTGAACAGGGAATATGATATACTTTTGTGTTTTATTATCCTTGATTTTCTTTTTTTGCAAATATGTTTAAGGGCTCGTTCACACTTGACTTATTTCTAACTCTTGCCAAACGCCCCTATAGGGTTTGACAGGCATTTGGGAAGCATTTTTAACGCTCCCCAAATGCCCTATGAGCGTTTTTAATTCATTTGATAGGCGTTTGCCAAGTGTTAAAACCGCACCACAAACGCCTATAATGAATTTAAATATTAACGCTCCACACATGCCTGCCAGGCGTTTGAGGAGTGTCACCATAGACTTGAATTGGAGGCTTCAACTCCTCCTGACTCGACATTGGGCATCCATTTTGCTACGACGCCAACACTTCAGTGTGAACAGCACGGTGTGCTGCCATGTGCAGAATTTTCTTAGGCATTTGAGAAGTGTTAAAAACTCTTCCCAAATGCCCGTCTGATGCCTGCTGACAAAGCTAGTGTGAACGTAGCCTAAGACGTTAGACCTTTATTTGTTACTACATCTTCTATATTTGGATCTGTATCTCATTATAACCGAATAGGTGAAGAGCAGCTATTCCGTGTGGTGTGTTTTTTTTGTTTTGTTTTGTTTTTGGTTTTGTTTTTTTGTTTTTTTTTGGGAGGGGGGGGGTTTGTGTGGGTTAGCTGCATCTTCCCTTAGACTTCTATGAGGTCCTGTGGTTTTTGGAGTTGTTTCAGAAATGCTGCACCTTTGGTGCGCTTTCTGAAACCGCACCAAAACCACAAGACCTCATGTAAGTCTATGGGAAAGCACAGCTGAGCTGCACGAATGTTAGCTGCACTTTGCCCAAAGCACATTGGTATTGCACAGAGGCAGTGTGTAGCTTCCCTAAATGTTTGTCCTTTTACCCCCACCCCCCAGTCATCTTCCAGGACAGCTTCACATGACAGGCTCCTCCTAGCAGGAAACGCCTGATACACTTTATCTTATTAAATAGCGTCTCCACCCCTGGGGTCCTCTGTATTTGTTTCCTCCAACCAGGACTCGCTACCCCCATTTTTTGTTTTTTTACCTAGGCTGTCTGGTGGGGTACAGATTCCTCCTGGATCAGGCTACCCCCTACTAATCAAGGCAGGGGTCCTGCGGGGTGGCTTCATTCGGGGCTCCCGTGGCATTTCTCTGAGGGCATAATTAGGTGAGACAGCACCCCCTCTTTCCACGCCCATTTACGGTCCTGCCTGGCTCACCAGGGGGGAGAGGAGCCTGCTACGTTGACCTGGGGGCCAAGAGGGTTGCAACCCTGTGGGGCAAGTAACCTACCTACCTTCGCTGCAGGGCGATGACATCTTTGGCTGTGGCACTTGGCAGGAGAGTGTGGGCTCGGTGACGTTACATCCAGGTGCCGATAGGAACGTCGGTTCCGGGCGCCAGGATACGTAAACGTCACTTCCGGAGACAGGAAGAGGATTATCGCCATCTTGGATATGGGCAGCGGTCTACAAGCTTGCCCTCACCATGGCTGTCTCCTGGATCCACTACGGCCGTGAGGCGAGGTCAGCGCAATCGGACCCTAGGAGGGGGCAGGGCCCTGTCACCCTGCAAACGGAGCTGCCGCCAGGATGGAGGCAGGTCTGTCAGAACTGGGGGAGGCCAGCACCAAGTTAGGAGTCAGACAGCTGGCAGGACCCTTCTAGATCTTTCATGGCTTTCTCCTGCATGCTCTTTCTCTCTCGTTGCAGATCAGGAAGAGGAATTATCCAGCACTTCGGAGGAAGGAGAGATGGAAGAACAGGATCACAAGTCGAAAAGGTTCCTTTTTCCGGTAGAAAATACAGAGGACCTCTTAAAAGTAATTTATGACACTCTATACCTGGAAGAACAACCGGATCTCTCTCCACGACCAGCTATATGCAGGGCTACAAAAGAAAAGTGGCCGCTACGTTCCCGATCCATTCAGGCACTATGGTCTACCATAAAATGGGAAGAGCCAGAAAGGGAAAGCCCTTTTTTTTTTTTTTTTTTTTTTTTTTTTCCCCCCCCCCTCCTAAGAATCTTAAAAGGCGATTTCCATTTAAAGAGGAAGATGTATCAATATGGGAATCTTGCCCCAAACTGGATGCTCCCCATTTCACGAAGCACGGATATATCATTTGAAAATGGGGTCTCCCTAAAGGACCCAATGGACCGTACAACTGACACATTCCTCAGAGTGTGGGAAGTGTCCGCATTAAACCAGCGATAGCAACAACTTGCGTTTCCTGAACCCTGGATGTATGGCTAGGCCAGCTCTATTCTCACCCGGCAGATGAAATTCTCAAATCAATACCAGTTTTGGAAAAGGCAGTGGCCTTTATCGTGGATGCATCGGCTGAAACCATTAAATACACAGCAAAATCAACTGCCCTCATAAACTCCGCTACAAGAGCCATTTGGCTGAAGTCTTGGCAGTGGGACATTGCTTCTAAATCTAGACTGTGTCCTGCCCTTCAAGGAAAAGCTCCTCTTCAGCCAGGAGCTGACTTCGGTCCTTGAGAGATCTACCAACAAAAAGATTCCCTGTTCCCAATCGGCAAGCGGGACGAAAGTTGGTGTGTGTGTGTGTGTGTGTGTGTGTGTGTGTGGGGGGGGGGGGGTTTCATCCCAACAGTCAGTGCTCAACTAAAGTTAAATTTCAAGGCCAGAATAGAGGCTGGTTTTCAAAAAGAGGGAAGAAAAAGGGAGATTTTCTCTTCAACCCCAACCAGGATAAACCCAAAACTCAATCCAAGTGACTGGTGGAGCCAGGTGGGAGGAAGGCTGGGATGCTTCCACACGCAATGGCTACAGACTACCCAGAACCCATTTATCCTAGACAATTCAATACGGCTACAAGATAGAATTTTTGCAATTCCCCCCTCAAAGGTTTTTTGCTACTCCACTGCCAAGGGAGGAGGAAAAGGCAGAAGAGCATGTGAACCCTTTGGAAGCAATGCTCCAACAGAATGTGGTCAGTCAGTTGGGGGAAGAAGGAAAAGGGGATTTTATTCCCATTTTTTTTTTCCTAAAGAGGAAGACATTTGGGAAGTACAGAATAAAAATCAACCTAAAAAAAAAACAAATTTATAAAATTCAAAAAAGTTTGCATAAAGACAATCTACATAGCGAAAGAAATACTTTTTCCCGGGGTGTTCATGGCATCAA